TTAACTTACAGCGCACCCAAAGCGAATTAGAAGCTAGCCAAAGCCAACTGAACCGCACCCAACAAGATTTAGAGCAGAAAAATGATAATCAAAGAGCACTAACTAATTCCTTAATTAGTGGAAGTGGTGGAATATTAGGTTATTTAGCAAGTAAATTTAAACAAGGTCAAACTATTACCAAAGAAAATATTAAAGAAATAAAATTGATAATAAATAATATTCGCCAAGATAAACAACAAGCCGAACAAGAAAAGGATTATTGAAAAGCCCAAGCCACTCAAAACCAAAATCATTTTCGCCAAGACCCAACCAACTCTCCTTGTTCTCGTGGTGATTGCCAAACAACCAAACAACAAAGAGATAATTATCAACAACAAGTCCAAACAATTTACCAAGAAAAAGAAAACAAAGAACACATTATTTGCCAAATCAATCAAGAATTAAATTTAGGTTTAGATAATCCTAATTTAAACCAAATAATTAGCAAAATTAAGGAATTAATTCATAAGCCTCCAACTAGTTCCTTTATGACATCCCCTCCTTCTAACCAAACAATTAAAAAACAACTCCAAGACGCTCAACAAACTATTGTGAAATTAGAACAAGAATTAGCCGAAAAAAATACTCCTTTCGGGGAAGATTTAGCGGTAATTAAACAACTAGAATTAGAAAGTTTAGAGCAATTATTTAACCAAACAGTAGACAGTGCTATTAAACAACAAATTACCCAAGCAACTAGTTATCAGCAAGTAGTTAGTGCCCGACAAGCCTTCATTCAAAAACATTTAGAGCAAAAACAAAATGTTCAATCTTTGCCGGTGATTAGTCAAACGCAAAAAGAATTAATTCCCCAGCCAAACCAAGAAAGAATTATTTTAATTGGTTTGCTGGCGGTGAGTTTATTAACTGTTGGGGGGTTGTTGGTTAAGTTGAGAGTGATTAAGAAGAGAAAATAGTTGCTTTGCCTTACACTCGCAAATTCTCCCCAGTTCGCTTGAAAAATCGCAGTTGACGAAAAAGTTCGGCAAAAAAGCCAAGGGAAACAAAAAATCTGTTAAAAGCACAGCCAAAACCAGTAAAACTTCCTTAAATGGGAAAGCCTAAAGACAGCCGCTTCAAAGATAAAGACACTGAAAACTTTTATTTAGGAGAAAAGGTTCTCAAATTCCAAGAACTTAGCAAAAGTGATAAGCAAGACGCTCACCGGAAAATAGTCTTGGTGCGAAAAGCTAAAAACTGAAAAGAAATTATTTTTTAGAGGGACTGGGAGTGCCGTAAGGTTCTTTGTTGAGTATTTGGGCTTGTTGCTCTTGCTTTTGTTTATATTCATTAAACTGTTCTCTTAAATCAGTTAAACTAATACTATTATCATTTAAAATTTGTTCTGGGGTTAAGTTTAATTCATCACGTAAATAAGCATAAAACTCAGGTTCTTGCAGGTCTTGTTGAATATTTATTCACTCTCTAGCTTGTTCATAAGTAAAACCAAGGTTTTGTCAAGCTTGGATTAGTTGAGGAGTAAAGGAAGAGTGGATATTTTGTCAGCTTTGGTCTGTCGCTGGTTGATCGATTATCGTTGGTTCAGTTTGGTAAGATTGTTTGGCGCTGGTGCTTTCTCAAAGTGATTCTTCACCTACTTGCACCTTCGTTTTTTTTAGCGAAAGAAAAGAGGGAAAAGTTTGCTCTTTTTGCTCTTGCGGTAAGTCTCTCTTCTTGACGCTAGATTCTTCTTCTTTCTTTAAACAATCAATTCCTTTTTTGATAACTCTGAGCAGGCAATCTAGTTCTGACTCTTCAACCGACTTTTTTTCGGTAAATAATCTCTTCATTTCATCTATTTTCTCAAGTATTTCTATTCGTCTACTTAAAGAATCAGCTAAAACGTCATTTTCTTCAAAGTCAATTTTCAATTTTTGTGAAATCGTACTAGTGCTTTCTCGTACCTTTAGAGGATATTCTCCTCCTTTTATTCTTTCTAATCTTGAAATCAATTCTCTTCTTTCACTCGAAGAAAGGTCAGGCTCTATCCATTCTGGATAAGTTCCACCATGCGTACCACGAATAGCGAATTCATAGCCTTCCGATGAAAAGTTGCTCCTCCTGTTTATTGTGTCAATAGTAGACTGACAAACAAGACAAGAAAATTTGCTGATGCCAATATAAACAAGAGTCTTTTTTTTTGGTGAATTCTGCCGCAGTCTATTTATTATTTTCATTTCGGCATGAACATTTTCTTCTCCTTCTATGCAAACTACAGATTTTTCTTTAATTGCTTTGACTATTTTGTACTCCAAATCTCCTTGACTTATTGCTTGAGCAATAATATTAGCATCCTCAAGTGGAGCCAAATAATTCCAAAACTCGTTAGCCCTTGTCATTTCTTTTTTTTCTCTTAGTTGATTTATTTCTGAAAAAAGTTCTTTAGCATATTCCTTAATCAAAAACAAGTCAGATTTATTTTCATAGATTTCTATCTTTTCTTTAAATTTATTAAATTTTTCATATTCACTACTTTCTTCAATAGCTTGGATAACTGCCCCCATTTGTTGCTTTTCAATCAAATCCTTTAATTGGAAAACAGACAAAGTCAACAAATCTTCATACTTATCGTTGGAAAACTCTTTTATAAACTCCCTCAATTTATCTAAATAAATTTCAGCATAATCAGCTTGTCTGCGATTATTAGCCACTAATAGTTGTTCACTATTTTCATCATAACAAACAGCTACGCAAATATCCTTTGTACTCGTCAACAGCCTTGCCAAAGTATCCAAATATTTATGTTGCTTGCTAGTACCATTAATCCGTGGCTCTATACTGCCTCATGTGTGTTTTTCACCTACTTTTTCATTTCTATGAATATCTTTTACAAGCCTGCTTATTTCTTCTCTCATCATCAATGTTTACCTAACTTGTCGGCTTCACTAGCACGTAAGAATCACCACTAGTAACTACTTTTGACAATAATTCATCATAAATTGCTGCATAAGATCAATCTTTATCAAAAAAAACGTCACGAATAGAAGTGCCGCTTTTTGATATTACATTAGTATTTGTCCCTCTTTCTAATAGTCATTTAATCATTGCTCAATCCTCAGACTCGTTAATAATCGCTGAAGCCGCACTGTGAAGAATAGATCAACCATATTCATTTGTAGCATCAATGTTACCCTTAATTTCTGAATTCTTATTTTCTACCAACGTCTTCAATATATCCAATCTATTTTTCTCTGCAGCAAAATGTAAAGGAGTATTGCCTTTAGAGTCTTTTACATTAGGATCAGCTCCTGCTTCTAAAAGTAATTTAACTATTTCAAAATAATTTCGTGCAGTTGCAACATGAAGAGGAGTTAATCTGTTTTTCTCAGCATAATACTCATTAACAACAACTACAGCATTTTTACCCAACCTACTAATAATACTTTTAACTTCTTCAATCTCATTATTCTTTACAGCAGCAAATAATAGTCTTTTGTTTTTCTCTTTAAATAATTTTTCTGTGTCTATTTTTCACCAATTATTTTCTTCATCCTTGTTAACTCTGTAGTCATTTAGTTTTTGAATAATGTTCTGTACTTTTGCATCTTTTTTCATTCCAGAAGAACAGTTAATTTCCTCTAAACTCTCCGGTAAATATTCTAAACCATTATTTATATCAGTATCAGATATATCTAACCTTTTCAACTTAGTCATATTCTTTAAAGACTCCAGAGAACCGATAAACTTATTATTAGCAATAGATAATTCTTCTAACTCCGCAAGCCCTTCCAAAAAACTCAAGTCCTGTTCAGCAAAATCATTGTTAGCGAGATTTAGCTTTCTAATCTTTCATTCTAACTTTGGTTCTTTATTACTTGAGCTTGAGCGAGTTGTTCTTTTATGAGGATTAGTAAAAGTAATTTCAGTTAATAGATTATTAGAACAATCCAATTCTTCTAAATTAGGAAATTCTTTTAATTCTAGCACTAGTTTTCCTTCTAAGCCTTTATTACTGATATCTAATTTGGTAACTTTATTTCTATTTGATTTTGGATATTCTTTATTTATGTATTGTTGAGCCTTGATCATATGATTGTTTTTAAGAAGTTTTTTTTATTTTTACAAATATTTGGAGAACTTTTTTTGCTTTTTTAACAAAGTTTAGGAGAGAAATTTATAACTAAGGTTTCTAAACAACCCTAAAAAAAAGTAAATTAAACAATGTAGAAAGCACTAAAAAGATATCATTACAATTTTAGGAACTAGAAAATTAGAGACAAGCTTCAAAAAAAACTTCTATGATAACCCAACAAGTTAAAAATTATGTTATAAAATAAAAAATATGAAATCTTATAAAAATATCCAAGAATTAAAAAAAGAATGAGAAGTTCATGGAGTTTTTGTTAACGAAAAAGGCGAATTAATAGCCAAACACAAAGGAAAAGAATATAAAATAGGTCAAGCCAGTTTCTTTAACGAGGATGGAAAAAAAGTAAGTTCGAAAGAAGTAGAGAAAGAGTAAAAATAAATATATAAAGATTGATTAATAAAGATTATTAGTTGAAATAGCAGGGCAAGAGAGTAGCTAAGGTTAAGCTTTTGTGGAAAATTGGCAACAATCTAAACGAAACCTTGACCTGCTTACTTGAACTAAATAATTAATATGCCAATTTTCCACAATTTAGGCGACATACAGCCATATTTTAAAAATCAATTTAGAAATTCCGAACAAGGAAAAAATTTTTATTTTTACTCTCACGAGCAAGCGTGCGTGTATTATTCTAATAATTCTAATCCTATAAAAATAAACAGAAGTTTTCTCTCCAAGCCTCGATAAATCACGGCACCTGGGTTCAGAAACATTTGCCTAAATCAATTTCGGCTTTTTTTTCACTTTATCTATAATTCTTTTTTTAGCTATTTTTCACCCAACCAAACTTTTTCCTATCTAAATTTACTACTAAATAAACCAGGTAAAAAACCACTAAATAAACTACTCACAAAACCCGTTCCAACCCGAAAACTAGCCCAAGTGCTAAAAAGGATTATATGAATGAAAAACAACCCAACCAAAATCAAGCAAATCAAACTCCCACTAAGGATATGATTGATAGTTTTGAAACGACCATTGCCGAAAAAAACAAATTAATCATTAAAATCCAAAGAGACTTAGAAAATACCGCCAAAATTAGAGCCAAAGCCGAAACGGAAATCGATAATTTGAAGTTAGAAAAACAAGCCGCCCTCGACCGAGCCGAGAGAGCCGAAGCCCGTTATTTACAAAAGCAAGAAATTCAAGCCCGGTCGCACCAACAAGAGCAAAATTTATTGGAGGTCTTATTTAACTAATGATTGAAAAAAACAGCTACTTAACTGCCCTCAAAAATAAACTAGTCTACGACAAAACCTTTAAAGCCATTGAAAGCAACAACCGTTATGCTCGGTTTTTTACCCAAAATAACATTCAAGTCAACGGCCGAGCAGTGGAATACTTACTTACTTGACCGAAAGAAGGCTTAGATTGGGAAAATGACCTTTCTATCTACAAACCCGATAATGAATTTAAAAGAAAAGTCAATGCTGTGCCTTTCCGGCTTGGTCGGCTCTTAGATAAAGTCTATTACGAAGTAGTGAATGAAGAAAGATTTGAAGAAGCCCTCGAATCCGAAAATGCTTGTAAAGACTTCACCAAAAACCTCTTAGAACAAACGGCTGACAAGGTCAATATCGACTTAGAAGTAGCCATTCCCCAACTAGTTTGCAATGACCAAAACTTCACCGAAAACAACCTAATCGAAAAAGACCAAGAATTCTGACAAAACCCCATCCAAATCCTCCAAGAACTCTTTAATGCTGATGATATTTTAGCCAAATGGAGCAACCAGTTTAACAAAGGCTACCCGGAAGACCCCGACGACAAAAGTTCCGATTATATTCCCCTCGAAACTAACTCTCGCAAGAAAATTGTTCTCTTAGATAGCAAAGTGAGAAACACCATTTTGGTCGGTGGCTACAAGGAAAACGTGAATTTCCCAGCCCTAGATTTAGAAAAGAGATTTGGTTCGGAAAATGTGCTGGTGGATAACTTACCTAACAATTACGGTATGCTCGTCCTCGACGAAAGATGCCTCCAACTCTACAAAAGAGCCAAGAAGGAAGGTTTCAAGCACCAAGAAGAAGCTTCGAACGGCAACCAGTGATTTTTCTTAAACCCAGTCATCCACGGAGGCTTTATTACGGCTTTTAATTCCATGGCTTGGAAGTATCCTGCCCAAGAAGAATTCGGAGGAGGGGAGTAAAATGTGATGAATAATCTTTGATTACCCTTATTTTTTAACGGAGGTAAAGAATAATGAACCTCTCTCAACAAAACCAATTCGTCCAAAACTGATGAAAACAAGCCCAACAGCAAGGGGCTATTTTAACCAAGCCAGTTCGTTATCGGAAATTAAAGGAGAGTTTGCAGAGAGATTATGTTCCCTTGGAGAAATATCAAGCCCTCCAATTCCAACATAACCAAACACTCCTCGATGTAGACTACCAACTCCAAGTCCACACCAAGCAAGAAAATAACCAACTCAAAAAAGACCTCCA